CCGGTCTGACCGTGGTCGGCTAACCGGTAGAGTGCTATTTTTTTTCTCTGGTCGAGAAACTACACTTTCTTTGAGATAAATGAAAAGATATACCAGGGCATATGAAAAAACAGCCTGACTAGAGCACACTCCTGGAAAAAGGGGCTCCCGTCCAAAATAATAACACTAAATGCTAATTTTTTTTTATGGACTAGTTTTAGTTATGATGTTTTACAGAGCCTTTTAATTTTAATATTTTGGAGCGAAACAATTTATTAAATAGGTACAAACTCCACAGTGACATTCTCTTTAATCATAGAGTGATTGGACATTACAATGCAATAATTTTTAAGTTATGTCATCGTCCTGAGTTGGAAACTTGGAAATGTGTTGTTCTCTGTTCTGCAGCTTAGGTGTACAATATAAGAGTTTGAATCAAAATGTGGAATTTGTTCTTCCTTCTGCTGTTTTCCATACTGATATTGATATATTGCTTCTGACATTCCGCTGTCTACTTCTTATTTGTTTTTGATGTTCTGTTTATTATATTAAAAAAGAAGAAGAAAAAGAAAAATCTTGGTTTCAATGATGGGATGCAAATCATAGATTGAGAGGTTCGCTATTTTTCAGGGGAGAAGGAATAGTCGTTTGTGGGCTCCCCTTCTAAAGGGTTCGTTCCTTTTTCTATTGCCTGATGGATCCCTCTATCCCCAATTCCCTTGTCTTCTCCTTACTGTGGAAGGTTAAAGTTCCAAAGAAGGTTAAATTTTTTGTGTGGTAGGTGCTTCATGGTAGACTTAATACTTTGGATTGGGTTATGAGGAAGTCGTTTTTGTTGATAGGCCGCAATGTTGTATCCTTTATAGGGTGGAGGATCTCGGTCATCTCCTTTGGAGATGGCATTTTGTGTACTTGGTCTGGAACGATTTTTTTTATGTGTTTGGCTTTAGCCTTGCTCGACCTAGAGATGGTAGTGCACGGGTGGAGGAGGAGTTGCTCTCATTTTTGCCTTTTTGTGATAAAGGTATTTTCTTTGGTTTGCTGGGGTTTGTGGATGGAGAGAAAGATAGAATTTCTAGTGGGGTCGAGAGATCTTGGGAGGAGGTTTGGTCTCTCGTTAGATTTCATGTTTCTCTTTAGGCCTTGGTAGTTAAGGACTTTTGTAATTATCCATTGGGTCTTATTTTGTTAGATTGGAGCCCCTTTTGGTTTAATTTGGTTCCTCTTCCTAGGGTTGCTAGGGTTGTCTTTTTGTATGTCCTTTTATTCTTTCATTTTTATCTCAATAAAAGTTCTGTACCTTTTCCAAAAAAAAAGGGTTTACTATTAATGTCTTCCTGATGCTAATTATGGACTTCTTATCTTCAAGCATTATTCAACTAAGATTTGTTTGATTTATCACATTTTTCACCTAAATTATTATACTTCGAAATGTGACTTGTTATTCTATTAATTGTAGAGCTGAGGAATGACCACACGGAGATCACAGAAAAGATTAATCAGAACATACAAGTTTTGCATTCTGCTAAGCCTGCTTCCAGTTTGTCACTTTCTAGGGATGCAGGTAATTATGAGGCAGATGTTATGCTTCTGAATGCACTTCTCTTTTATCCCCATATCCCTCAGTTGCAGCTGCACCACAATTTCTATTCCATAGCTAACTAATTCAGGTAGAGTTCAACACTTATACAGTTTGGATTCTGTTTCGTTTGAAAGAATTTAGAATCGATCTTCATGAGTAATCTGTTCTGCTGGCTTCCTTGTATAATCACACGTAAATGTTAAAAGTCCGTAGACTGGGTTAAATTTTTGGGAAGTTGTTAGTACTTAGTAGTAGCAGTGTAGCATCCCTTTTTCTTTTGTTGAGTTCAACAATATGTGGGGGTGTGACCTTTTGGTTGATGAGATATGCTTTAATCAGTTGAACTATAGTTTTGCCAGTGTAGCACTCATTGAACTCATTGCACCAATAATTTTGTATAAATCAAATGTGGGCTGTGAGTAGGGTGAGATATATAAAAGATTATATAAAGTTAGTTCTCATAAAATGTTAAGTTAAATTTATTTCAATCTACTTGAGAGAGTCCTTACGAATTTACGAAGGTTATTTATTTTTTGAGTTCAATAACATGTGAGGGTGAGAATTTGAACTTTTGATCTTTTTAGTCAAGGAAATATGTCCTAACTATCTGAGCTAGGTTCGGTATTTGTCAATGCAACAAAATAAAATACTATTGAATCAAGAGTGATATCTTGTCCATTACTCCTATGAAAGATGTTGATACAGAAAAGAGAGGTAAGTAGGGAGAGGAGACTAGAAAATAAAGAGAGAGAACCTAGATATTCAAGGGGAAAAGAGAGTTGGCTTAGATTAATGTGGTAACCTATGAAAATAGTCTAGTGACTATAATCTTATTTCTGGAGATTTGAAAAATGCTCCAATATATTTTAGGAAACATACATCATATGAAACTAAACAATGTAGTTATATATATATATATATATATAAAAGAAACTGATTTTTCATTAAGACAAATGAAAGAATATACAAGGGCATAGAAAAGAAAAAGGAAGCCTAGCCTACAAGAAGAGGCTTGAATCCATAAAAAGAACACCTGACGGATAAGCCTAGCCTCTAAAGATCTTTCTAACTCTCTCAAAACTCATTCACAAGAGAAGTGAAACTATATACTCTCTATATTGTTTCTCTCTATCCATATACCTCACAAAATGGCGAAAAAACACGCCTGCCAAATTTTACCCCTATCCCAGAAGGGGATACATCAAAACCTCTTTCACCATCGTTGCCGAAGTTTTTTAGCGAATGGTGTAGAGATTTTTAGTGWCTAATTGGTGTCCCCTCTCAAACAGTTTTCTGACTTTTTCTTTTCCGATTCTACCCAATTGGAGTGTCTCTTTGTAGCCTTCTTGGCTTTGGGGGATTTTTATGTTTTTTCCCTTGTGTACATGGTTTGCCTTTTCAATAATTTTGTTTCTTATATATATAAATAAAGAAATAACGATAATGATAACCAAAAAAAATTATAGCCACCATACGCCTGCCAATGTCAATATCCCCAAGAAGCATGGACATAAGCATGAGATACGGACATCGTGGCACATTAATTTCTGAAAATTTAGGACATAGATACAGCAAGGACATGTATATTATAATATACATCTTTCTAAAATAATATTCATAATCCTATCCTAATAGCATTTGCATCAGAATTGCTCTCAGATCTTGCTTTTGGGAACTGTCCGAAGATTTAATTGCTGTTTGACTAATCATCTGGGGATAAATCCTGGTTCTACCTATTTGATTCATCTTTTAGGGAATACAGAGGGTTCAAACGACCAAAGGTCATCTGTCACAACTGCTCCAGCCTCGAATAGTTTTTTACAGAGCAACTCTTCGAGTAGCATGGATATAGATGCAAATTGCAGCATACCGTTTGCACTGGTAGATGAAATAGCCGATGCATCTCCAGCAGCAGATGATGGATTACAACTCGGCGATCAAGTTCTTAAATTTGGGAATGTAGAGGCCGGTGATGATCTGTTGCATAGGCTTGCCTCTGAAGCACAGACTAATCAAGGCCGTCCAATACCTGTTGTAGTTATGAGGCATGGTACTCCCCTAAATTTGATTCTCACCCCCAGATCATGGCAAGGCCGGGGTCTCCTCGGGTATGTTTTGTACTTGTCGTTTTTATGTTTGCTTAGACCTTGTTAGATAACCCTTTCGTTTTTAGTTTTTAAAATTTATGCTAGTTTCTTAATATTTATTTGGTATGAGAGAATATTTGACTTCCTAGCCAAATTTCAAAAACCAAATTTTTTAAGAACTACATTTTTTAGTTTTAAGAACTTGGCTCAGATTATGAAAACATTTTTAAAAAGAAGATAACAAAACAAGAAATAGATGGGTGGAAGTAGTGTGTAATAAGCTTAATTTTCTGGTTATCAAATGGCCCTCGGTTTTTAGTTTTTAAAAATCAAGTTTATAAACATTGCCTCGACCTTTACGTTCATTATTTTGATATTACTTATTAAAACTTTTTTTAAATCTAAGCCAAATTTTGAAAATCGTAAAAACCTGTTTTTGTCTGTAGAATTTGGCCAAGAATTCAAATTGGTATTTAAGAAAGGTGAAAAACACACCAAAGAAAATTGGGGAGAGACAAGCAAAATTTTAAAAACAAAATAGTTATCGAGTCTCGGTTTTGTTATCATTTACTAAAATCCAATAAGCAATGAGAACACCGCTGATTGATTCCCACTGTTGGGTGCTCACAGATGCCATTTTAGGATGTTGTAGCTGTGAATCTGTGGTGACAATCTAAAGCTGTCATGGTGGGGTGGCTGTTCATAAAGACAGTAAATTTTCTGCTCTTAACTCTCCTTCTGTTCTACACTATATCTACTGCTTATAATTCTAGGTAATATTTTTGATAAATTTCTCTCAACTTCATGTCTGTTTTTATAATTCCCCATCCTGTCCCTCTTTTTTAGTGTCATTTTTACATTGAGATTCTGTAAATTGAAAGCACAGGGTTGAGTTGCACTATATGCTATTTCTTTTTATATCAAAATATTAGTTTTCGAGTTCGGAATTAAGGTTGTATAAATCTGTTACGAAACCTCGAAGAGATTAATGTTTTCTCTGCTAACTCGTTTTAAAGATTCCGTGTCAAGTAAATAGTATGTCTTGTCTTCTTTTCGTTAGGTGAACTAATGGTTGGTTAGAACTCTTTTCATTTTATGGACTAAAATGTTGCTCTGGAAATCTTGATCCCCAAATAAAAACTAAACTCAATCTTCAACCCCCAGAACTATTTTCATTTTATTAAATAGTTCTTGTGGGCAGTGTTTTAATGGTCATCGGTGCTCTCAATTTTATGGAAATCTATATAATTAGAAATTTTAGAAGTATATTTAAATTAACAAATAACCATTCATCAGTTTAAAATAAGTTGAAATTTGTTTATTATTAACATTATATTTATATTGGTGATGTTTGTGTGATATTTGCTATATTTAGTTGATTTTTTAAATATAAAAGAAATGTTGATTTACCTTTATATTGATATCATCAATTTAATACCTTAGTCCTCGTAATCATTTTATTTTTGGTTATATATTTTTTGAGAATTAAGTTATAAATACCACTTCAACCCATGTTTCTTTATTCATTTTATTTTTGGTTATATATTTTTGAGAATAAAGTTATAATACCACTTCGACCTAGGTGTTTCTTTATTTTTGTTATTTGCGGCCAGATTTTGAAAACTAAAAGTATATATTTTAAAATTTTGACTTTTGTTTTTGAAATTTAGCTAAGAACTCATAAGAAATGTTACAATACTCCAAATCCACCTCAAACTATAGATTAACGAGACATCAAACTATAGATTAAGATTAATGAGACATCAAACTATAGATTAATAAGGGCGGATCCACGAACGGACAAGGGGGTACGGATTTTAAATTAAATACTATTTAGTATGAATTTTGGGAATGAAAACGTTAATTCTCCGTTGGCTCGCGTCCCCTGCCCCCACCCTCGCGTCCCTAGTTGAAGTTCTCATCAACATGTTTTCGTTCTCTCTCTCTCTCTTTTTCCTATACTCACATAAGTGTTATAATTTTTATCTCTATTAAATTTATGCGAGTTCATTCCTTTTAAGTTTAAACATCTAAAAAAACTTACTAATTTAATAAAAATCAAGTTTCTTGACTTACTAATTTAATAAAAATCAAGTTTCTTGAATTATGTTTAATTGATGCACAAAATTTAATGTTAAATAACTCAACTAAAATTTTTACACTTAAAACGACTTTTCTAATTCATTTGATACGTGAGATTATTTTAAATCTGTCGAATGGTAAATTTTATGACATATTTTAAAATTCAAGATGAAAATTACAACATTATCCAATTGTAAGACGGAAATCGATACACATCACCAAGTTCAGTATAAAATTGATATTTTTCCAATCTTTATATGCATTTGTGCCGTCTTGACATAGAATCCTGGATCCGTCATTGACTCCAAACTATAGATTCTTAGACCACGGATATCGAACTAGTACGCCGAAAACTGCATTAACTTTATATGTTTTAGTGCATTAAGCACGCACACCATTGTTGTTCCATGCTTGTACTTCATGCTTTAAGCAAGCACGAAGCATGCCCCAACTTGTTACATGCTTTAAGAACTTGCAATTTTTTGTTTTTTTGTTTTTATAAATTTTAAACTTATTTAAACAAAGAAGGTAAATTACATTTTTTGACATTAAATTTTTTATATTTAGCTCGCAAGTTTTCAATAGGTAAATTTTAATCCTTGAGATTTACGAAATATTATTTAGTCTTTGTGGAAATAAAAGAGGTTAAATCTTATTTCAGTCTTCAAAACTCTATAAATAATTATATCTTAGTGAGTGTCTTGTATTAGATATCTTATGTATAATTAAATTTATGATGACTTTAATAAGCTATATTTATTTATCTTTGTGGAACCATTGTATTTTTGTTATGAAAAAAATTTCTAAAGTATACATTTTGAAACTTTAGGAACCAAACCAAAAGTCTATTTTGCCCCAAACTTTAATAAGCTATATTTATTTATTTAAGTGGGGTGATGTGGCTTTTTATAAGCCTTTAATTAGGAAAAAATTAATATTTAATCTCAAATTTCAAAATTTTTGTCATAAACTTTCGATTTCATCTAATTAGACCTTGAACTTAGACAATTGTTGAAATTTTACCTCCAATTTAATTTTCACTAATTCACATGTTAATTTTAATTTACAGCATAATACAATCCTGAAAAAAAATGATCATTGTTCAATTTCTTTTTATACAACAAATTGGAGGTATGTGATTTGACCCGAACAGGTTACCGATGAGCTATACTCATATTGGTAAGTATTATTCAAAATTAAGTTGGACCAATACACAAAATTGATAATTAAATAATTCTACCAAAATCAACCATATTTGCAAATTTGTTAACCATACAAATAATTTGAAAATATGACAAAAATTTCCCTCCTATACCACCAATATACCATTTTTACATCGTAGATAATATATCACTAATATACACAGTAAAAAATACATAACTAATATATATAAATTTCCTTACAATTTCACCAATTTTACAAAATATTTTATCAACATAAATCTACTGTCTCAAACTCCTTATAATGTTTTTTTTTTTAATTTTATTTTGTCACGTTTGATTGGTGAAAAAAAACAAAATATTAATAAAATCATCAAAAACGAAGAGCAACCGACATTCTTATTTATTGGCATCTTCTAAAACAGTTTCTTGTGCRGCCGCAGCCACAGCCACAGCCACTCATCGTTCTCTTTTTATACCTTCGCCTTACCAATGAAATTTCTTGCTCTTTCAGTCTCAATGTCTTGATTACTTCTAATTTGTTGGCTTTCATCAGACATCGCATGTTAATTTCGCGATTTTCAGAAGCTTAGGCCTTCGCCAAAACCCCTTCCGTCCAGCTTTCAGTGAGGATCCTCAACAACCACAGCTGCCTTCATATTTCCCAGGTTTTTTTCTGTCTTGTTGTTGTATATTATGCTAATGGGGAACTGGGTTTGGTGATTAATATGATTTTTCTTTTTATTTTTCTTTTTTGGTTGAGGTGGTATGTTACACCTATGGAAGAGATGAGCAGGATTTTGATGTTTTTTTTGTTGTTGTTGTTTTTGAGTGAAAATTGCAATGAAAGTAAGAAATGGAAGAAACTTATGGTTCTGGTGGTTAGTTTTACAATTGGTGTTTGGTCTATTACAATTGGATAGTGGTAAGGTTACCTTTTTCACTGTTATTGGGGTTAAAACTTTCTTCAACGTGTAAACTGTGGATGGTCTGGGGAGTTTTCCCCTGTTTTGATCTAGATGAACTAAGAGTGTGAGAATTTTTGGGTGGGATTGAAAACATGAGAAATATTGCCCTTGATATATTTGAAAAGTTTGGAATTCTTGGGAGAAATATTATCAAGTATTTGAGTTTTCTTTAGGATCACACTGCTTTCTAGAAGCGATTCGATTTGCACAGAATCGTGTATAGATTGCAATGAAATGATTGTTGAGAGTTGTCCTGTGAGTTGTAGTGGTAGCTATACTTTAATACAAATTTCTAGGCTCGCTCAATCTTGTCTTTCGATCGCCCATAGAGCGAACCGTTCATTTCCTTGAACGAGCATAGGCAGCAGATAGCCATTTCATGTGATCATGGTGTTGAAGTTACATAGTTGAAACCTCAAAATGATGGATTGGACATCTGAGTTCTAATACTTCAACAGTCCAATTTAGATGTGCTGTTGATGAGAAGTTTTCTTTAGCACCTAGCTTTTTCTTCTGGAAGGCTTTGAACTTCCAACTTAAAATTTTCTCCCACTTGTCCATTTCACCTCATGAAGCTGCATTTTCCTGAAAGTTTGTGCGCTTAGCAGTTCGATCCTGCATTGAATCACACTCTTCTCTATAGATTGTTAAGAATTATAGTTGTTTAAACAATGAATACAATATTCAATTCACTATAATTCATCCGCTTAAGTTTTTAGATTTATTGGTAGTTTAACATATTAGCAAAGTAGGAGATCCTTAGATTTTGCGTTAATTTCTAAATCCACAAGTGAAATACTGAAGTATAAATGAGAGATCAAATTTATCATAATCCATCCGCCTAAGTGTAGAGATTTAGTGGTTAGTTGTCTAGTTACATTTCTAGTAGAATGGTTCCCACGTCCCTCCCGATACTACTTCATTACAGAATTCATACTAACTTAAAGTCGCCCTGATTCGTGAAACAGTGTGTTTATATTGAAAGACCCTTTCTTTTGCATCTTAAATCAGCACAATCCTTTCTTGAAGACATAAAGTACTCTAAAAAAATTACTAGCTTTTTCTTTGGTTTCTCATATGTTCTCACTTGAATTATATGCAACTTATAGGAGATTGATGTTCCTTGCAAGAAAGAGTTAGTTCTCCTCAAGTTGTCAATGTTTAATTGATTACTKTTAGTTTCTTCATCAAGTCTTTGTCAAGACTTTGTACAAGACAAACTTGTCAAATATATAATAATTATCATGATAATCATGATCATAATAATAATATTACTTTTCTGTAAGGAAGAAAAAAAAAAGAACAAGAATCTTCTGTATCTTTGACTCAATTGTATTTTWAGGCTTTGGTTGAATGTATCATGTAGTGTGTGATAGGGTGGGTTTTGTCTCTTCATAGATGCTTCTGCTGCAACAATTTTCGAAGTTTACAAGCTATACGTTTTGTATCCAGGTCATTTCTCTTTGTTATTCAAACCGACTATATTACTCGATAACACATGTCGTATGATGATTCGTATATATCGATGGATGTAGCGGATCACACAATGGAAGAGCCTTCAACTTCRTTATGGAACCGAATCTCAGCCATCAGGCAAACAGCTTCAGAAGCATTCAAAAGAAAACCAATATCGCATTGGATTATTCTCGCTCTAAGCAGCATAGGAATGCTCGTGGCGTTCCCTGCTTCATCTATACTATCTCGTGTTTATTACGACAACGGTGGGAAGAGCAAGTGGATCATTTCTTGGGTGTCCGTCGTCGGCTGGCCTATTCCAGCTTTACTATTGTTTCCTTTGTATTTCTTATCTGAAATCCATCCTACCCCTCTGAATTGGAAGCTCATCATTTCTTATATTGTGCTGGGCTTATTAAGCGCGGTTGACAACCTCATGTATGCATATGCTTATGCATATCTCCCTGCTTCTACCGCTTCACTTTTGGCATCGTCGTCCCTCGTGTTCTCTGTACTATTCGGTTATCTTCTTGCCAAGAATCGAGTGAATGCTTCGATATTGAATGCTGTCTTCATCATCACCGCTGCAGTTGTGATGATTGGTTTGGACTCAAGTTCTGATAGGTATGGAGGCATAACTGATCAGCAATACATATTGGGTTTCGTATGGGATATACTAGGATCTGCTCTCCATGGACTCATTTTCGCCCTCTCCGAGCTAGTTTTCATAAAGCTACTTGATAGAAAGTCTTTCCATGTTGTGTTGGAACAGCAAGTAATGGTTTCTTTTTTCGCCTTCTTGTTTACCACTCTTGGAGTTCTTCTAAGTAAGGATTTTCAGAAGATGAAATCAGAGGCTGCAAGTTTCATCGGGGGCGAGTCGTCTTATCTGCTCRTGCTTATTTGGAGCRCAATATCTTTCCAGTTGGGAGTGTTGGGTGGAACTGCAGTTCTGTTTTTATCTTCAACCATTCTAGCCGGAGTTCTAAACGCGGTTCGGGTGCCTATTACAAGCATTGGTGCTGTCATATTCTTGAAAGATCCCATGAGTGGCTTCAAGATCCTCTCTTTAGTTATCACTTTCTGGGGATTCAGCTCCTACATTTATGGCAGTTCCTCGTTAAGTAAGCAATCTTGATCTTAAACCGCTCTTCCATTTTCGACTCTCGAGTTTTTTRAAGCTAACCAAAGATCTTATACAGTTCCTCTTTGCTCATTAGTCATTTTACTGTAAGATCTTTTTAATACATAAGCTTACTTTGGTGTGCAAAATTGTGTAGAAATTAGAATATTCTTATGGGGTTGTCTCTACCTCACAAGTTTTACATTTGATGTACTGTCTGTTTCTGTGAGAAATTTTTGGAAACTTGGAGGGGAGTGCTGTAAAAATTTGAAGGATTGTTTAGTTAGAACAAGCATTCACTGAAAACATTGAATGTGGTTTAAACTCCATGATGGCCATCTACCTTAGGAATTAGTAATTTCTGTGTCTCCTGATACTAAATGTTGTAGGGTCAAGCGGTTGTCCTGTGAGATTAGTCGAGGTGCACGTAAGCTGGTCCGGACACTCACAGATAAAAAAAACATTGAATGTGGTTGGGGATTGGCTCAATGATTGGGGCAAGGGTTTTTTTTCTTTTTAATCTATGGACGAGTTTCTAATACCAAATGTTGTAAGGTTTGACAACATTTCTATGAGAACAGTGGTGGAGCGTGTAAGCCTTTTTTTAGTACAACAACGTAAGGRGGTGAGGATGGTCTGGGATTTAATCAGTTGAGTTATGCTCAAGTTAGCAAGAGGAGCGTATAAGCTTGCTCAAATGGCAATTTTAAATATGAAAAAAAAAGTTGAGATATGGTTGTACAAGAACTACGACATAGCATCGAGTATAATGTTGCAAAATGGACATCCTATGCAAATATATGGTGTATTTTACCCTAAAAGATGAAGGTAGAAATATACTATACTAAAATTCGAAGATATGAAAATTTTTATAGTTCTATGGAATTTAATTCACCTTTAGTTTGTTAATAAACGATTAAAAATTCAACCAAAGTAATAGTTTGGATTTCTACATTATTAAAACGAAATGAAATGTCACGCTATAAAATTCAATTGTCATATCTAAAAAAAATTGTTAGGTTATTTAATCATAGGATTATGACAAAACGATTCGATATATAGAAATCTAATTAAAATTAGATTTAAAATCCACAGTGTCTTAAAAAAAGAAGTTAAAGTTCATGGACTAAAATTATAATGTAGGTTGAATAATCGAAATTATTTAACAAAGATGCATCCATCAAATATGATAAAACTAAAAAACAATTTACTAATCTAGATATAATATTAAAATTCGAATTTAAAAAGAATTTAAATTAAGTAATATAAATTTGTTATTCATTTTTATGTTAAATATATCTTTTAGTCTAATGTCTGTGGAATCAGATGTGAAACGATTCTATTGATTTGAAATAATATTGTCCATTTAAAATCCCAATAAATTGTTGAAATAATGCTACTAGCAAACAAAATTAGACTTGACTTTTAACATGGTAGCCCCCACATTAAAAATAATTGAGTGTTTTCAGTTAATTAATAGTAAAATGCTCCAAAGTAATTATAGGTTAAAAGTTTTTAATTGAGTCTATTTGTCGAAGCGAATTAGGTGGATAGTAATTGACATATATATTTCCAATTAATAGGTTGTAAGTTCGATCCCTCGCCTTAGTAATTGACATATATATTTCCAATTAATAGGTTGTAAGTTCGATCCCTCGCCTCCATATGTATTCAAACGAATAAAGAAAGAAGGAAAAAAAACACTTAGTATGTCTTATTTAAAATTTCTTAATTTAATCCCTTGCATTTTAACTATTTTTAATTTAATCTCTCATTGTGGGATAATATTAAAATTGACTGATAATAAATTTACATGTTATAATTTTTAGTGAATGAGTGAAAATTTAAAGGAGAAAAAAGATCATCAAGATTAAAAAAAATAACTCAAAATTTCTACCAATTTCTTAGATATTTGGAGAATTAGAAATTTTCCTCTTTTTGATGGTAGTTCTTCTCTCACGTAAGTTTATCACCCGTCAATTTTAAAATTTACTGATCGTGAAAAACTAAATTTTAAAAAAATTATAAAATATAAATAACTCGAGACTAAATTTAAAATACCATATATTTTGCCCAACTCTATTTAACATATAATTGTTTTGGTACATCTTAGCTCTTAATTAAGTAATTGAATAGACTYAATTATTTTTAATGTGGGGGCTATGATATTTAAAGTCAAACCTAATTTGTTTGGTAATAACATTATTTCAACAACTTATTTGGATTTTAAATTGACAATATTATTTCAAATAAATAGTATCATTTCACATCTTTTMTACACAAAGATGTAAACATGTAGTGCCAAATAGAAATAAATTGCTCAAATAAAGCAACATAGCTACCAAATATGAAACATTAAATTTGCAATAATTAGCAGGTTCCTTGCACTCAACTTGCACATTCAATCCACTTTCTCTTCTATTTGAAAGTACCAACCATAAATATTTCAAAGCAAATATTTCCAACCACCTCTCCAAGTCTCAACTAATTTCATAAAACAACTCAAATACTCACATTCTCACATTCTTAAATATTTAATAAGTGGAATCGAGAGGTATTGAATGATAAAATTTTGGTTAAAAATATTATTTTGGATCATGTATTTTCATTTAAGTGATAATTTAGACCCTGAATTTTAATTTGTAACAATTTAATCTTAGTATGTTATAAAGTAACAATTTAATCCTACCATGAAAAATATCAACAAATTTAAGTATCAATTTTTATTATATTGTAATTTAATCTTTCTAATTTATAAATACAATTGGCCCTTCATCAATTTATCCATCGATATATATACTATTAGATCTTAACAACAATCGAAACTAAATTGTTACCAACTTTAAACTATAGAGATTAGATTATTACACATTAAAATTCAAGAATTAAATTATTGCCAATTTGAAAATAAAAAGACAAAATCRTTACAAATCAAACCAAATTTCGGGGATTAAATCATTCAAAATTACAAGAACCAAGTGTTTTTATACCAAAAAAATTTGTCAACCAAAAAAAAAAGCCCAACTCCTACCATTAGCGAAAGTGTTGAGGGAAACTTTTGAGTCATGAATTCTGAATAGAACATACTCAGGCAAGAGAAACTACTTCACAACAGAACAAGACTTCATTATTAGCCAGTCTAGGAGAGATCTAAACATCCAAATCATGAGTTTGTTTAGTGGGAAAAAAATGGAAACAGAAAACTCATACTGTTTCTTGATAAAACAATATCCAAGTTACATAATTCTCCGTCTCATTATCATGAAGTACTCRGGAACAGGGAGTCAAATTCATATGAAAAAAAATCTAAAATTCTACTCTCTTTTCCCAAAGGGGAAACAAAAACACTTGATCAATGGACCATTTAGAACCCAACAAGAATGCTACATCAAAATTGCTATAAGTACCCGCAGTGGTTGGTCAAGTGAGAACTTGAAGCCTGTGGGCACGTCCCTTGTTCCTTCATATCCTAAATGGTTCTTTTGCAGAGCCAGATCTGTCCAGCTTTAGCTTCTTGAACTGCGATTTCTTGGTAGCAATCTCTTGGAAAGGATTTGGTCCACCGAACGAGTGTTTAAATTCTCGAATCTTCTTCCTCTTCCCTTGATCATATTCTTCGTCCCTGTAAAATTAGTTTGCACACACAAACCAAGTCAATACATCTTACATTCCAGAACAATTGTCTATATGGAAAAAGCACCATCGTCAAGAACTCAAATTCTATCCACTAATTTCTCTTCATTAACTTATACTATGTTTTGTGTTTGTTTTGGAAATAGAGATTCTTTATTCGTGAACATGAGGATATTCAAATTTTCACCTGCTCCAACTTCTCCTACTTTCTTAGGGTTGAAGGTTCAAATCCCCACCTTCCATTTAAAAGAAAAAAAATGAATATTTTGGCTTATTTGGTTAAATAATAATAATTTAACCATGTTGGGCTATTAGTGTTAACTCACTCTTTCTAAAGCAACACTAAAATAAACAGTAGTAAAACTGGTTATGAGACCATTGAAATCCAAACTCCCAATACTCTAAACAAACTTACATATCGACAACATTGTACAGGTAACAGACTATTGAATCGGTCATATAAAAACAGGCAAAAGATAATCCTTTGAAACTTAATCGTATGTGCATTCGAGATAAAAGTTGAAATAAAAACTACTCTATATTTTGAAACTTCTTCATAACTTTCATCCGCTTTTTTACCACCTGACCAGCATTAGTAAATAAGAAAAGGTAACTAAGAAATTTCAACTCACCATTCATCTGCAACATAGCCGATGCTTCTTATAGTCTCCATGCCACTGAACCCATTCTCAAATGATGGCATTTTTGTCCCATCCCACTGCTCGACTGCAATAAGAAGAATTTTTCAACTCATTAGAAATATAAACAAGCTGCAACATGTTTCAGTGTTAGCAATCCTTATTATAAGGCTGAACAACACTGAATCTTCCCATARGAAACTAGAAGAGTAATGCAAAATATGCCCTTTCTCGAGATGAATAAGGCCAACATTTGGATTGGGTCTTACAAGAGTTAGTCTTTCAATTATGACAAAGGAAAGCTACAAAAGGTAAATGACTGGGAATGCTCTACTGCATAAGTTATTTTAAAATGGGATTGCATATATATGACAATAAAATGTGAATATGATCAAAGAACTAGGTCCCCAACAGAAACCTTAAGACCTTCTCAAAGGTTTTGTAGCATAAGAAATATTATCACAACTAAGGTTAGACTTTCTTGACTAATGTAAAATTTACATATCACCTAACATAGCAGTAAGGTCATGCAACAGGTTCATAAAGTGCTTGGAAACAATTTAGAAACAACGCAGCATAAATTGCTTACCAACTGTATTTTGAAAACCATTGGTAAGAACACAACGGAAGCCATCTTGATTAGCGTTTATCTTTCTATCTTTTGGGAAATTCACTTCAATGGATTCCTTGTGATTAGCTACTATGATAGAGTCACTGCTACAGTTCAATTTTTTCTTTGTTGCAAGCTCAGAACTTTCCTCTTTACTTCTTTTTCCACTTCCTTTATCAACTATATCAGTCAGCTCCTCCACATTATGAGCTTCATTCTTTGTGGAAATACCATTACCTTCTCTAGAACCATGCTTAGCCTTCTTCCTGGACTTACAAGTTGAAACTAAGTAAATGGACTTGGCTTTCTCGGATGTAGATGGACCAAGATCAGATGAGATGCCATCTGTACTAGACAAGCTTTCCTCGGTGAGATTTTTGGACCCTGCAGATTGGCGCTTTTTCCTTTTATGTTTCCTCTTTTTACACAGGCTCAAAGATGCCTTGAAAAGAATGTTTGAGCTGAGATGCAAACTTCCTAGATGGTACTTCAAATTTTTCCTTTTCAATCTTCTGCCATGCTTAGAATCAGGAGTTTTTGTGACCAACAATTCAGATGTCATAATTGAAGAAGTTGACATTTTATTTGACTCATCGGGCATCAATTTTTTACAATCAGAAGCATCCTCAGAAGACAAGTTACCAACAAACTTTTGATTTGGTATATCAACCTGGGAAAAGTTGAACGAGGATAAGTTTGAAGAAACAAGACAATAACATTACATTGAGGGCCAAAGCATTTCAAAGGAATATAAAGGTGCACCTTGCTACTTTCCGACTTTGGTTGATCTGGTAATATCTCCGGGTAAGATTTCTCTAACGTTTTACAGCCAGACTCTTCGGTTAAAGCAGCATTACCATTCTGCACATGTGAAACCAGAAGCTCCTAAACAAAAGAAGGTTTTTTTTAACAAAAAATAAATTTTTCATTGATAGATGAACATAAGAAGGTTTTTCTTTTTGCAAATCAATTCAGCAAACATCAAATACTCCAACTAGCAAGCAATGCAAACAAAGCGTCAACTTACAGCCTGTGGAATGGCAGAAGTGTTGGGATCAATTAGATTGAGAGAAGTAGCAACTAAGACACCCAGGCCTCTATTGACATGGCCGATTTCTATATCAGCTGCTCTGGCCAAAGAGCTTACGGAATTAGTAGCAACAAAGTTGTTGTTCATACATACGGGTAAAGATGTTAAATCTTCAGCTGGACTTGAGTTTGGCATAATATCCTCGCTGAATGTTTTTAGTGGCAAGACTCCCCTTGAAGAATATGTCGGCATGGATACTGTTACTGGTACCGAGCATTCCGTGCTTGCCTGTTCAATTTCTATCTGGACTGATGGTCCATTCGAAATTTTTGTTTTTGATGGACCCATGTTTGGTGAGTCTTTTGACTCTTTTCTCAATTCATCGCTGGTAGGGCCATTTAATTTTTTTTCAAATGTACAATTTTGTGCACAGTTGTCCTTCAGACCTTGGTTGACAACGGAATCGCTTCTATTTGAACTGGTAGACATTTTCATATTCTCTTTCAAAGCAATATCGATTGATTTTTTCTGAACAACTTTTCTTCTATCACGTACATAAAATAACATGTATGCCTGCTGCTCAAAAACAGTCCTGTCACCAACGTGTGAAACCTGTGACAGGCAAATGAATTCTATTTAAATTGAGATTGGCAAATGTTGAGATACAAATTTCATCTCTTCTATTTATCACGTTTCATGAAAAGAAACAACACAGTTCACTTAGATAGAAGTAGAACCAYGAACTTTATATCACATACCCGATTATCATCAAGGGCATACCACATGCCACTGGATGTTCGAACATAACAATAGTAGTGACCACTACGGGTGCTACCACCATGATGGACCAGAACCCCATAAAGAGTGTACTTCAAATCTCCATCCTGGCAATGCAAGAATCTTAGTGAAATCACACGACCGCATAAGCACATAAAGCTACAGATACTGAAAGCCAAAACAAATTATAACCAACTGCTATAACATCCAGCTGAAATCGCACAAGTTCGAGGATATGCGTATTATATATTTTGGAACATCACAAATTTAAGGAAACAGAAACAAAAGTAACTGATTGTAGTCATTGTTATTACGGTACCACCAAACAACCTTTAAAAAAATTTCCATGATTAACAATATATCCACATACATATTTGATCATCATCACTACAAAATAATGCACTACAACAAACTCAGAAAATGAAATATCTGCCAAGAAATCATGCGAAATGTACGTCTAACAGGCATGAAACAAATTTTTACAGAAGAGTATCATTGTCATAATGAAAGAAGACAAATAGGAAAGGCAATCTGTTCCATGGTCCAGAGTCTAACACACTTGTCATTTTTTATGCTTTATCCAAAGAAGTTCCACATGAACTTTTCCTTCCTATTCATGTAGTTTACAGATGCAATATCCTAGCAGTAATCCAGCATCTACCCAGCTATTGGCTACAAAAATCATTCTGTAAAATGAGCATGAAGTTGATGAGGGATATATTGGAGCAGAATAATATAAATTGAATTTAGTATGAATTGAAAAGCAAATATCATGTCGTCTAAGTGAATAGTTTTAAGCTTGCAACCATAGATCATTAGTAAGCTCATAATTCCCAATACAAAACATAATTATTAAGTCTATAACACCCATATGAGAGACATAAATATACATGTGGATGAGAAGCTTACAGCATATGAACCACTGACAAAAGGTTTCAGATCTAATGTAGGGCCAAACTGAATCTTTTTGTGGATCTTTTCTTCAAGATTATATGATTGGAACCGCTTTAGATGAATAGTTAAGACATAGGGAGCCTTGTGAACTGTGAACTGCTTAAGAGCCTTAACTTTTTGCTTGCATCGTTGACATTGATACTGCCTTTCCCCTCCATCCAACAGCTCGGGAGTAGTGAAGTTTTTGAATGCTTTATATATTGAATCTGCCTTCACTATGTCAAGACTTAAATCTAAAAATGGATCAAATGTGTTGGAGCAATAAGAACATTGCATGCATTTGACCTGAAATGAAGTACAGATATTATGTGTCAACTGAAGAATTGACATATGGGGACATGCCACCTTTAAACTTCAATGTTTTTCCACCATTTCAAGTTGTTGCCTGATCCTCTGATCCTAGATAAGAGGTTACCTGACTTCGAAGGCGACCACCAAAAATCTTGTGTACCAAACTCTTCTCATAGGCACTAGGAGATTCACTTGGCAGGCCCAAAGGCAAGCAACACCTATGCATGGATTCCAGCAAGTTTACCATGTATTCATGAGCATCTTCTTGTCTAGCATTTCTGAAGTTACGAGATATACCTAAGAGCATGGTTAAGAATTGAACAATCTGACACCATATAAGGGTAAAAGACTGTCTAAATCCAGCTAAAAAATTGGAAAAACATCTCATATACCAGGCTTTAAAATGGTTATTAATTAGAAAAATATCACATATACCTGACTTTAACATAAGGTGAAGTCATAGGGTATTCATTATGAAAGATCCCACACCATTTGACTCTTTGTATCTTACCCCAACCCCACCCCCACCCCCACCCCAAGAAATGAGATGAAAAAGAAATCGTCAAATTCTGATCAAGAATATTGTTTGCTCTGGTCTTCCAACAAAGGGTAATAGATGACTTGTATTAATGAGCAGATATTAAATAAATACTGATATATACTTCATGAGGTTTCTGTTCTAATAAATTCTATTCTCATTAAAAATTGGAATAAATGGCAACAGAATCCATTGGCAAACACTTTCAGACCACCTTCTCTTCGATTAAATTTGTTCTCCTACAAGAARTAAACACAATAAAAGTTCCTCTTAAAACTTTTTGCACTAATTTTTGTTGATAATATTAATCTTTATACTGCATAACAGTTAACCATTTCCCAAGATTCTCTAATAAAACATTAAACAAGTACAATGTATAGTGAATTATAAGGATACATCGTAAATTAGAAACAAGATCCTTTGGTGCTAATATTCTCCCACTTGACTGCAAAGCACGACTAACATGCTTCTGAATGGCACATAGCGCACAGAATCCAGCTACATGGCCTTTGYAAATTTTGAAACTGAATTAGACAAGTAATACCAAGCATAATAATCTTAATGTAGATATAAAAAAAAGCACGAGCACAATAGAACAAAACTTCTATAAAAATATGCATATAATAATTATTATAATAAATAGCTCACATGGAGGAAAGTCAAAACTATTTCACATTCGAGTTGTGGCGAAATACAAAACCACACAGTCAAGTATGCTAAAATGAATATCAAACGTAAATTCATTGTGTCAAGAATTGTAGCAATATGTGAAAGCAGACTAACGCACAAGAATTTTGATGCTTCCCGCTTTGAAGATATGCAGCCAAAGGCTCTGTATACGTCAAACACTGCAACACTGAGTTAAGAAAACAGGTGTTCCCAAGATTTTGCAAACCAGCACCCTGCGAAAGGTAACCCCATAATCCTTAAGTTTGATTTTTTAAATTTTTTTTGATAAAGTCAGACTTTAAGAAAATAACATGACAGGAAGAGAAAAAAGAACCACGAGCCACCTAAATTAATCAAAGTACAAAAACAACCTCACCTAATTAGGCAGGAAATACAAAACAAAAGATAAACATGCAGATATTCAAGGAACAAATTCATAGCGCTCCAGGCTGATAAAAAAAAATAATAATAATAATAATAATAATAATAATAATAATAATAATAATTAAAAAAAAGGAACAAAAACACGGCTCACTGTTAATGCTACAACAAATAGAGTTCCAAATATGTACTTAGAAAGCAAGCAAGTTAGACAAAGCAATGTAAAAATGTAATATTAATTTTTCTTGGCTATAAACAAAGTCGTGAACATAAAAATAAAATATGCAGATGGCAATAAAAATAGATATTTAAAAATAAGATACGAACAAGTAAAGAAATTCAACTGCTAATTACAATGGACCAGAGACCATCAGAAGAGACAATAGAACCCACAAAAAGGAATGGATTATAGTGTAATCAACAASGTTAAAAGAGCTATAGTAAAGAGAGAAAACTAGAAAACCAATTTGTCCAAAATTAGCATTAAAATGAGCACAAGATTCAAAATACTAATTCTCAAGAACTCTGAAGATATCCTCTTTATGTAAAGAGACAGAGCATGAAGCCACTGAACAGAGTAAAACGAAAAGAAAAGAAACTGACCACATCAAATCYGACTCCATGCTAAAAACTGACAAAATCAAAATCCCTGGCTACCAATCAATCAATCAGACGCTTAAAAGAAAGTCTCGAAACCAAAAGATAATAACATAACCTCAACAAAAGTCAAGTCATTAAGGCACTTACAATTCGGCGAAAGGTGATCTCGAAACTGAGCTCGGGGTCCAACCCATTCTCTAAAAGCTCAGACCCATCCATCTTCTTCCCCTTGGAAGCTGAGTGATCCACATTAGAACCAGATTTGTGAGCAAGTGAGCTACTGGGGTTTAGGGTCTCGAATCGAAAATCGCCGCCGCCGTTATCAAACCCATTGAAACTCTTCCTAGCCGGATGAAAATCCATCCTCCTCTGAAACAGAGAAGACAACAAATCAGCCGATGTCCCGGGGCAATCCGACGGATTATCATGCTCTGGTTTGAAAACAAAGCCGTCCGCCATACCCAAACCTTCCGACGCGATTCCAATTACGAAACAGGAGCGAGCGAGAGAGAGATCGAAACAGCTCAGTTTGTCGAACAAACTTTGAGAATAAATCGTTAAAATTTCTCGGAAGTTTGGATTTCCGATTGGGATGAGAAGATTAATTGCAGAGCTTCGCGCGTTTTGGCACACGGCTTCTGCGGAAGAGAAGGAGAGTGTAGGCGATAGCGCCAGTATTAAACCCTACAGAAGTCTTTTTGGCCTTTTTATTTTTTATTTTTATTTTCTTTTTTTCCGCGAATGGTGCAGGTGAGATTACGGTGGACGCGTCACACCTGATTCTCGCTCCACCGTGTCGGAGAATCTCGATGGCCGTAGCCAACAGACGCCTGCCACGTGTTGCTTTTGAGGTGGAACAGTATCTTCACATTGTTTATCACCGCTCTTTGTTCGAATCTGGGAGAAACCAATGGAATAGTGACACGTGGACTGTTGGGTCCATTTGTAAAATTCCGGCCCTGGCAAATGTGCTTAATTTTAACTTTTAGATTGAGAAAAATATGGATTTTAAGGTAAATTAACCCAACTTTCGATTTCATCCAATTGCATCTTAAATTTTAAATTTTGATACGCGTTGTAATCTTTACTCGAAATTTTAAATATGTTGTAATTTTTACGAAAATTTGTTGAAATAAGTATTCTAGTGTCAAATAAATTATAAAACATATATTTGACATGAATTAAAATTGAAACAAAAATAAAATTAGATTGGATTGGATTTTAATTTTAAATTGGTAAGTTTTGAAATAATTGTTTAAGGTTCAATTTTGTGTATTAGTCAAACTTTAACTTTTGTGCAAATTTGGTTTTAATAAAATTAGTAAGTTTGGAGAATTTTTTACGTTGTCTTTTGTTAAAATTAATAGATAAGTTATCAAAAATTAAATATAGTACAAATATACAAATTACCACGGTTATTTAAATTTATAATTTAATGCGATAATATTTAAAATTTAATGTGGTAATATTTAAAGATTGTGGAATGAAACTTAATACAACAAGTTTTACAGATAAAAATTTAAAAAAAAATCATTGTCTTTTAGATATTACTGTGACATAACGAGTGACATATTTGATAATTATCTCTAATTGATATTCTCTAAAAGTAAGTTAAAATTCAAATATAAATCTAGAGTTTTCACATGAATTTTGTTTTTTCTTTTTATAAAATATTTGAAATTATTATGTTATACTTAATTTTTTTTAATTTGTCAGGCATTTTATAAGTAAAAATAATATACAATAGTACTAATAATAATAACAATAAAAATATACGTTACCGTGTTTAATTTTTTTTTTGTTAGATTATAATTTTGGTATCTATCATTTTTAAAATCCCTACAATTTAGGCTCCATCTTAACTTTTTTCCAATAATTTGAATTYAGTTTAAATCTGAAATTAATAGTGTGGTTAAGCTTCTTAAGTTGTCATTAAATCAGTGTGTGTTCTATTTAAAATAACTCACTCACTTCCTTTTATATTTTATATTATAMTTTAAAAGGAAAAATATAAAATATAATATTTTGAAATGAGAGTTTAATTTTATATTAATCAATTAACATAAAATTAACAACAATGTCAACATATATTGCTTTTGTAAATTTTTAGAAATTAAATATAATATTTAAAAATGACCTAACATACCATTTGAAAGATTAGTAACCAAATTTTAACGATTGAAAATTCATGAATTTATATAAGTTTTGATTGACAAAATAAACAGAGGAACATTTATTTGAAAAATACAGTTGGTTTAGTGAGAATGTTAAAATATTATTTTTGTCCTTGTATTTTAAGTCTCAGTTCATTTTAGTCATCGTATTTTAAACGGTTCATTTTGATCATTGTATTTTCCACTTYAGTTATTTTAGTCCATATACTTTGAAAATGTTAATTTTGGTTCATGTACTTTTAACAAAGTGATCATTATAATATATCTTTGCAAAATTTTAATACAAATTTTACACATAACGGAAACTCTTTAATATAATGTTTACATTTTAAAAAATATATTGATTTTAATGTCGTGTTGAGATTGTGATAGAAAAATATGATTAAGAATAAAACGATTTGATCAAAATAGTCACATTTTAAATTTACATGGACCAAATGAATATTTTGAAAATATAATGATTAAAACGGATAAAGTTAAAAGTAAATAGACAAAAACAAATATTTTAAAAGTATAGGAATTAAAATGAACCAAATTTWAAAATACAAGAACAAAACTAGTAGTTTAACCTAATAAGAAAGAGTACYGAGACGAAAGTAAAACRTTATGAACTAAAATGGATGCGTGATGGAAAATGAAATGGATAAAATTGGTACATTTTCAGTTTATGACAAGTATGGAAATATTTAATACAAATAGGTCTAAATTGTTACTAGAATATAAATTCTATCATCCAACTTCTCATTCAAGTTGGAAATTGTAAATAAGTGTTCGAGGTTGAATAAAGTKACAAGTGGTGGCCGTTCAAATCTTATCTTTAAATCGATAGTGACTGTGTTTGGGGATGAAAATACCSTGGACACGTGGAAGACCCCTATTGGTACTCCAAGATGGCCCATGAGTCATGCCCAGCTCGGATAGTCCAGATGGCTGCCACCAACGCCGACGAAAGCTTAAGTATGAGGGCCGAGGTGAACCTGGCCCAGGTCTGACCTACCGGGGAGCTCGGTAGGGGCCGATGTGAGCAACTGTCTGCGGCGTGATTATCGGGCGTAACCRTCGGTCCCGAGATCACCGGGTGTAACCGATGGTCCCAAGATTACCGAGTGTAACCGTCGCGAGACTAGCGGGACCATCACCCATAAGTAGAGGACCTCACTCCCCGATCAGGTACGATGAATTCTGGCTTTGAACTAAACTTGGAATCCGACCTATACTAACTTGATCGTCGGAGTGCTCACCTTTTTGTGCAGGTCCGCCGAAAGGTTCAGGTCGGTACGGAGGCCGAGTTCGAGCTACAGTCAGGAACACACTGTTGTGCACATCTTTGCATAAACATTTGGCGCCGTCTGTGGGAACGACAATCTAAGTCATCCCAATTCCTTTAAACCAACACGCGAGCGAACATGGTTCAACCAGCGAACTCGACCAATACGACAGATCGAAGGAYTCTAGCTGCCAGCGATGCCCACCAGAGGGAGGTCGGAGCAGCAGCGGTAGAGGGGCAAGGTCACG